ATTTAATTTCGCCTCAAAATAAATTTCAAAAGAACAAATTCAGTTGAAAATATTCCATGTGTTCTAATCGCATCTTTATTATTCAAGCAGTAACATTCAGTCCTCTTGTTTCTGCTTTACAATATTCAGTCCCGTTATTTTCGCTGTTTCAAATACGCTGCCACAATTTCAGTGGTTTAAAATACGATCCAAAATTCAACCCTCTACATCCGGGACTAGCAGGATGAGCCATAGATTGCCGATAGAGTTCTCTTCGGGAACCGCGATCAAAATGGAGCAAGCGGTCAGTACAAGTACTGACTTGGCAGCAGATTTTTGTTGATTGTGTTATTTATCTTTCTTGTCGTTTACTGGTCAATACGATATAACTTATTGCAACCCCAACTAGTAGGTTTTTATGCAAGTAATTCGCTAGCTGCATTAATTATCACCAAACTTATCTTGCTAACGTAAGATGCCTGCAGGCAACTACAAGGTTTACACACCAAGAGTTTAAATCAGCGTGATAAATTTATGATAATGACAGACAGTTATGAAAGCTGCTGGCAACAAGTATAATGGCAAGGGTGCCAGCAACTGACTCATACCTTGATGGAATTTGTATAAATGGTGCATTATAACTATTAAATATGTAAGAAAACAAATGTTTAGCACGATATTATACACTGATGACGATATGAATGTTCATAAACACGACGCGATATTTCACGGCCCAGCCCTGTCCGATGCCGTTTCATTGTCACCGTCTTTTCCTTAATTAATTAGGCATATCATACTTTCAAAGTGCTATTAAGGTCCCTTCTGGTGTCATCGCTGACATCACGGACCTGTCAGTCCCCAAGTCGCCTACTATCCCATCCCAATAAGTTATCGTCCCGAAAAATTCAAAGCGTCATTAATGCAATGCGTTTTTATTCGATAAGTGTAATTCAACGTGTTTTTTTTCCATCAACGACTTTTGTCATTAATTTACTTCCATAGATGTTAGCAAATGCAAGAGATACAACATACCCTGGTCTTGATGGGATGCAGAAAATGTTTCTCAGGATTTCACTGACCAACCTACTGTTCAGTTACGAGATTAGAGGTTCGCTGAGCCATGGTGTCATGAAGGGCCCAGTGACTTAGTAAAGTGCTACAAAAATGGTCAATACTGTAATATTTATACAATGATAAAGAATGCAGGTTGTTGAACACTGTTGTGTCTATGAAGAGGTCTGTGCTTACTCAAGTTCTACATTCACAAAAACTTTTATAACTTTGTTTAAACAAAAGTACTTCATGACAGTTCTTCGAGAGCAAGTCCTGAACTTTGCCGGTGACAGTTTTATCTTCTGTTAGTCTTAGTATCAGTTCTCACATCTGAGGGGCATCAAGTTTTTAAGACATTCGCACTTTGTCAAATTTAAATTCCAAAAGGACTCTCATGCGATTCACTGATCGTCTCGGTTGCATAAAGATCAGCCATTCAGCAATCCAGATGCTGGATTAGTGGATTATTTCCGGAATATGGGTAGCGGTTTCTATATTTTCCTAACCCAGAATTTTTTTATTATTTTTTTTTATAAAAAAGTCGCTCAGAATTAAGTCAGCCTTTCAAAGATTCCTCAGTTGAGTGGCAGTTGTTTACATTTAAATACATTGAACATCTGAAGATTCAGCTGAGGTCTTAGCCAATGGTTTCTTCCTTATTTCTGCTTATTTTCTCCACGATGATTTAAGTTTCACTCGGACTTGGTTCCATGCTCTTGCTGGATTGCTCAACTCGATTTCAACTTGCATCCATTGCTATAAAAGGAAACAATCCCAAAACGTCCCTCATCCATCTTAATGTAGCCTGTCCCCAAACAACCACGCATTCCCAAACTCTTTAGACATGGAAAGGAAAAATGCAGCTGAGCTGACGCCAAATTCAAATGGGAGAAAGGATCTGGGCTTCTCCGAGGGGGGGGGGGGGGGGTAAATGTTTACAGCCCTGAGCAGCTTCTCATGTTCTGCAAGTTCCCAAGACCTTTGATAACAGTTTACCTAGCAGATCTGAGCTGCACCTCTCTCAAAAGCCATCTGTTAGTGTTAGCAGTGCACACTCCACATTTTCATTTGCCAAATTTTAACCTATTTTTAATGGATTTTTTTTGTAGAACTTAACCCTGTTGAAGGTGAAGATCAGGTGAGAAAACAGGTCTTTCAAACCTACCCTCAACTCGCTTACAAGTTACATTTTACACATCTGTATATTTTACGTATTTTTTTGGGCTATTTAATGTGATGTCAGTTATTTTTTTATTTATTTTATTTTCAGGTGACTGGACAAATGGGGTCCCTGAAAATTGTTCATTTTGGTTTAGTGTGAAGAACCACAAACTTGTAAAAAGAATCTGTCCTCAGCAGCCGTTCTGGCCCACACTGGACCAGTTTAACAATCATAGCGAAGGCAGTCAAATGTAACTCTGGATATGGAACTGAATAATGCTTTATCAGTCAAAAGTTTAACCTTATGTTTGTAATGTATATTTTTATAATAAAAGTATTTTCACTTTAACTGTGTCCGTGTGCTAGCTGCTGTAATGCAAACACACGCTATGCGCTAAAACCATTTACCTGTTGGCAGGGATTAGCGCAAGTCAAGGTACAGGTTAATGTACACAAACAACTGAATAAATTTATGTTTTAAGTTAAATCTGTGTAGGAATGCCGTTTAGCTAATGGGCCCAAGTGCAGAGACAATCTAGGATGGGCAGGCGATGAATGTATAGCTATGCTGGTTTTTGGATTTTTCTCTTCCCGTTTCTCAAACATTAGACATGTTCCTTATTCATGAGCGAAATCGACACCCGGGTTTTAAGTAGCAGCGCCGCGCTCGCGATCGGCGGCGTCAGCACTGCTGACGGCCCTGTACGCGGAATTAATCTGACAGCATCCAGCGATCCGTAATCCCCCGCAGTATCATAATCTATTTACTTTGCATTCTAAGAGGATTTCCATATAAAATATACAACTAGCGATGCTGGAAATGGACAGGAGATCATGAAGGATTTTTTTTTTTTTTTGCTCCACCTTCAAAATTAAAAAAAAAAAGAAGAAAACTTGACAATTAGCTCCCTCAATCTGCTTTGTCTTTCATATTTACTGATTAAAAAAAAAAAAAAGACAACTGTACTTTCTGCTCCCTTACTGATGTGTTCATTAGAAGCCATTTTTAAGAATTAATTCAACAATACATGCTTTGATATTTACTGTGATTTTAAAAACGTTGCAGCCACGCTGCAGCCAGACTTCAGAGGAGAGACACAGTCATTATCAAACGCCTCTCTGCATGGATGTTGGTCCAACCTATTCCTAGCTCATCCTTCCCTTTAATTTTGTTCCAGGCACTGAAAAGATTTCCTGCATACAAATTTCAGATCATGGCCCTAGGAGTAGAGGCGTGGAGGATACAGTTTGTAAGAGGAACAGATTATGCAGAGGAATCTACATCTCCTATTAGATAGCCATTCGTTACATAAATATTTATAAAACTGATGTAAATGGACCATTAAGCCTCATGCCATGTTAAAGCTTAATTGCTTGTAGTTTTCAATGGGCATGTTAAAAACATATTTCGGTAAATAGGTGGGTTGCCAGGGGGTGGGGTGGGGTGGGGTGCAGTGGTTAGCATTGTTGCATCATACCTCTAGGACCAGGGTTCAAGTCTCCTCCATGGCTCTCTGTGTGTGGAGTTTGCATGTTCTCCCCAAGTGGTTGTGGGGTTTCCTCTGGGACTCTGGACTTACCAAATTGCCCGTAGGTGTGCCCTGTGATGGGTTGGTGCCCCATCCTGGGTTGTTTCCCACCTTCTGCTCCTGACTCCCTGCAACCCCGAATAGTAGTTACAGAAGATGGATGGAGCAGAGTTGTTACAACTTAGTCACACTTCTTGTAGTGAACGTAATACAGAATGTTGTTGTATTAACCATAGTAAACCTTAATTACTAGCTTTTTCAAATTGGTACATTCCTGTCCTGGGTGGGTGACATGCTGGCCAGGGTGTGTTGTTGCTGGCCATCTTCTGCCCCCATTCCCCATCTCCCCCTCAGTGGTGGGGGCCTGAGTGAAAATCGCAGTCTGTGATCTCTGCCACGTTGAGAGCCAGTTTTAGAAATAAGAGTTTAAGCTCATCTATCCAGCCCAGGGTATATCACAGAGTTTACTCATTCAAGTACTAAAGAAAAAAAGTAAAACATTCCTTTCACTGCACACCCAGTGTGAAGGACCTAGTGTCATTATCAGAGACCCACAGTGTTTCAATTACATGTGTTTACTTTGAAAGAGAACAACCTTCTTCCCTTAAGTGACAGCAATTCAGCTTAATTGCAATAGGAAATAAGAATGGAATGAGGAAAAAAAAATCAGTGGTGAACTCGGATGAAAGTGCATTCAGAAATGCAGACATTTTGCCCGGAACCCAGAATTCTGAAAAACATCAATCCAACGGCTGCTTCCGGTTGGGCCCGTCACACCAGTTTGTTCTCGAAGCTGGCTGCCTGCAGTCATTATCACATTCTTCCAGAGCTCTTCCGCTGATCACCAACGCTCACGCCAATCTGGACACCTAAAACGCACCGTTACCGTCTTAACACTCTAATAAATAATTACAGAATTCAAACGAATTCGAGTTGTTTGCACCTAATCGGTCTGGTTGAACGGACACTGAACTGGATAACGCCCACTTTGCATGTATCCAGCACGTACAGTACAGGCTGGATAAAACGGTGAACAGTACTAAAAACATCTTTTTGGTCAGCAACCTCTACACTTACAAAGCAATATCCAAGAGTTAACTGAAGAAACAAAGTACTTCTTTCGATAACACTAGAGGAAGCACCTTTGCCATGCATTTGAACTGACAAGCAGCTTTAGTCTAAATCGGGGGTCTTCAAACGATTTAAGCAAAATGCTAGATCATTCAAACTTTCAGGGGCTGGACTATGGGTATAAACGAAAAATCCCTTGTAACCATTTTTCATTCTATCTACATTAGATCTACATATTAGTAGCTATTAAGGGTGATGTAGGGTTAATTTACACATTTGTTATTTTGATATCATAATGAGAAATGGTGTGTAACCACAGATCCCGCCTTTGACATTAATTACAGGGATGTAGATGATGGGACAATCGGCATTTAGCAGAATATGTATGCTTTTTAAAATACCGCCTACCGCGGGATAATGTCTGCAGTGGTACAACGGTATCAAAATAATAATAATAATAATAATAATAATCACACACCGCCTAAATCTATTGGCTGGGGGGCGGGGTATCGGCACATGCGTAACATAATAAGATGAAGATTACACATTGAAAAAGGTACTGGAAAATACGGTCTCGTGTACGCATGCGTGGAAATGGCGCGCATGGGTAGTAGCGGAAGCAACATTTTCGGTAGGTGTTATATTATCGTGAAGTGTCACATGTTCGGTAGCCACAGAGACTTGCTGTCAATATGAGAGAAGCTCCCACAACTTCCGGGAGGGGTGGGATGTCTGAGTAACAGATACGTATTTACGTGATTATGCAGCGGTTGAATATTTTGTTTAATGTTTCTTTGATACGTTTTTCATTATACACCTCTGCTTATTTTAAAAGATGTGTAGTGGCCAGGACTATATGCACTGCTGATACTGGTAGAATTCTCTCTCTCTCTATATATATATATATATGTATATATATATATATATAAAAATAGATCTTCAGGGGCCTCGGTAGCGGCGGAAGACGATACAGACCTGAAAGGCCGCGACAGCAGTGTCACCCTCGTATCTGAACCGGGCCAGCCGACCGAATATAGCTGCAAAGTTTTGGGCTAGATTATAATAGAAACAAACGTAGGGGACAGGTCCACGACGGATCTTCAGAGAGGCCTAGACCAGCAAGGTGTATTTTTCATTGTGACATCCATTGCTAAGAAACCAGCCCGCAAAGCACAGCAATCATCTTTAAAATTTAACCACAATCGCCTCAAGCTTCACACAGCCCGTCCATAAATCTATACGATGGCATACAGAATTACAGCCAACAATTAGTGGCAGTGACATCTACCTTTTCTACTTTCAAAATGTTTCTAAAATAAAATGCACGTCTGTACGACCACAGTCTGAGATACAATAAGTATTTTTCATGCAGTCAATCGGTGTGCTCCGGGATACATTTAGTGATAGGAGTAAGTGGACCCAGCTTCACGTTCAGCCTACTGCCTTAACTCAGACATCCCCTCTATAACAATGAATTCGAAACATTTTCAAACCTTTAAAAAGCAATTACAACGCCATTTAAATTAAGGTAAATCCATTATTAAGTTAAGGAGCCAGCTGGAAACAACCATTGCCACAGGTTAATGCTGTACGAACCAAAACTGATCGCATTCAGACTTGCCGAGTAATTAGTTTTAACTTTACTTACGAGGTAGCGGCGTTGAAATCGCGCACAAGAACCAACTGCCGTTTTATTATGGAAAGTATAGGCCTACAGCGTGAACCGTTCAAAGGGAGCATTTTAGCGTCCTTTGCTGATTGAAAATTGCATTTACGTGAATCCCTGTTGTCAGATGGGGGTAATCCTTATTCAGCTCTGCAGAAATAACAGCGGGCGTCGGACAGGTGCTCTTTGTAAGGACGCGATCACCACCGGCCACGGGATTCCTTAATACATTTTCCATATTGGTCCACCCAGTTTGATGCAAATTTACCAAATCCGGCCGTGTTTGTGAAGCGCCTGAGAGCGGCAGGAGCCCGCTGACACTGCCCAGTGGGTACCAGCAAGAACCGCAGCAGAGCAAACAGTCCCCCTGTCCTCGTGGACAGGTCTGTTTAGTCAGCCTTGTTTATTCAGGTGCCACGTAATTATTAACATACAATACAAAGAGCACGGGCCGGTGTTAATTGAAATCTCGCGCATTTGTCCTCCTCTGCGACGACAAACAAAACCATGCAACGTTGTCATGAGCATCCAGAACAGCATATGTTGGGCAAACAGCACGCCTTCATTTGTCCTCCTGTTTGTTTACGTGATGATTTAGTACAACAGCAAGCAGCAATTTTCTACTTTATAAACCACACTGATGACCGATTTTTTACCCCCCCCAAGACAAATTAACGCAACACAGCATTCGCCATTTCACAACACAAAATTCCCAACGCATGACTCCATGCATTCTCTGAAAGTTATTTCCTTAATGACATTGACATGATTAATTTAATACCAACATCATCGTGGTGTGTCAACTTGGATCACATGTTTAAAACTACTATTTGCAGAATATAAATTTAAGCGACTGGCCGCTGTGAGGACATGTTTCTTATTTAAAAACTTATCCACACAGATCAAACAATTAATTTTGGTATAAAAGGATTAAATTGGGCGGTAATGCGTCTTCCCATAGAACCACTAACTTAAAGTTCTCTCAAACCTAAAGTGATGTTAGGTCTACTACCTATTCACACATCGCCCGAATATACCCAGAATGGTTCCAAATATTGTCACGGACAACTTAGCGCTTTTTAACGGCCTATATATAATTTTAACTTGCTGAAAGCAATTTGCTGCTCTAATGTAGTCCCTTTGGATCTGACCAATTAGCCTGGTCCCACCCACCTAATTACCCAATCAAAAGCAATAATATTCCGCCGGGCTAATTGAGATAAGCTCGTTGAGCACGCGCCAAGAGCTCGGCGGAAGTGCACCATGGTGATAAGTGCAGCTCTAGTACGGTGTGACTACCCGATCAGGCAAGACGGTATGATTTGCATTTAACTTAAATGCTAGACACTGTTAAAACTTAGCTTAAGCAAAAGTGCATTTCGCAAAAACAAATAAAAAAATTAAAACCGCAAGATGTACAAATATGCCTAGAAATAGTTTATACAAAGTAGGCCGGCCTATAGGCCTATATATAATTTCTCTATTCACTGTTGTAAATAATACATGATAGAAACGCAAGTAATACAGCGTCAAACTGAATAATTTCTTTTTATCGAATACAGACCGTGGGAATCTCCCTGCAGTCAGCTTAATATTCAACCACCCTGCATGCATCTGCCGTCTAAATGCGAAATGAAAAAAATAAATTAAATAACCAAGAACTAATTATTACACAGGGTGATGGTTTGTCGGAGTATTAATTAAAAACACCCGTTTTAAAATAGCATATTTGATAAAACACAAATTCTATGAATTGTCAGTTAGGCATAACGAATTTAATAGTAATTATAAACTGACTTAACACTTTAAATATTCTAGGTATTAATGAAGCATAAATACAAATTAATTATTTAAATAGAAATTTTTAAATAATCCACTCAAAGACCACTGAAAAAAGTACGTTAAATTGATTTTTATTTGTATGGACACGAATATACGGGCGTTTGCCTTAAATACATTCAAATTTACGGTCATATTTGAAACGTGTCCAGTCGATATTCCCTTAGAGTCAGTCCAGGCGAAACGGGAAGTTCAAGTGCTGCGACTACAAACGTCTCTCCAAACCCACCGTCGACCATATCCGGATTTAACTTGATGCTGCATTTTTTCCAAGGGTCAGAGCGATGTGCGACTTGAACGGACGCTCCTGGGATAATCATAGCTTTCGAGCATTTTAAGTCACAGATTAATGCGGACGGAAGTCGTCAGTGCCGAATCCGACATTGAACTGACGAATTTTCGATTCATATTTTGTCAAACCGGATGCGTTCATATTTATTTGTGCGGTTAAAATCTTCTTAATTTCAGGTACAGTTCTGCCACCAAAACTTGGTCAATCCAACTGACCTAAATACATATCTACACATTTCAGCTGCATTGCGCAGCTGACTAAAATATCTTCTCCATCCTAAAAAAATCTGTACAACACTTGATTGGAATCAAAGAATAAATTCTTAGCGGTCTGGTGGTGGTGCAGACCAAAAGAGGTAAAAATAAAAATTAAGCTGTCGAGGTCTGGTTGAAGAAAGGCGTTTGGAAAAGTACTCAGTGTGCCCCACCCCCCACGGGCATATAAAGTGATTCTTTACTAATAAGTTTGTATTTCTTTTAATTTAAATGCTTAAAATGCAAAAGTGTGTGAATGTCTAAAGCATATCAAACTTAAGGGTCATACTTGGGGAAAAAAAATATTTTAGAGGACAATGGATCAGAAATCACAACACTTGAAACCTCCAGGAGGTCTGGTCTTTGTAGTCCAAGCAGTCCGCTGTGTTGAAGTTGAGTTTCCAGGAAGATGCTGTTTGGTCTTTGTAATCCAGGCAGTCTGTGGAGTTGAAGGCCAGGCCGGCCCCGCTGTAGGCCTGGTGGTGGTGGTGATGGTGGCTGTGTCCTGAGGACTGGCTGATGTGATGGTGTGGATGACCCGGCATAGGGGAGGCCGCCATGGGACTGAGCTGGTGGGGATGATGGTGAGCGTGCATAGGAGCCAGGTACGAGCCACAGTCCACTCCCCCGAAGTAGGAGCCTGATGGGTTGGGGTAGCCCTGGCCATAGGCCCCAGTTTGGTTATACGACATGGGGTAGGAAGATCCAGCTGATGCCGGCACGGAGCGCTGCATGCAGGAAGCATTGACCGGGGTTACGGGATCGGTGACAGACACAGACGGGGCAGTCGAGCCGGGGGTAATGGAGGCCGGACTCCAGATGGAGGAGATCGGGGTGCTGACTGAGGTGGAGGGGCCACAGAGGCCTCCATTGTGGCTGGTGGAGGTGGAACTGGACGAAGAGGAGGAAGACGCGGAACCGGCGCTGGACACGGCAGGAGGGCTGAACTGGCCGCTGCTCTCCGAACCCGTGCTCTCACGCGTGGGCGACAATTTCTTCTTGACGGGCCGGGTCTTGGAGCCGGAGCCGGAGCCGCCGCTCTGCTGCTGCTGCTGCTGCCGGCACTTGGCTCGCCGGTTCTTGAACCACACCTGGGTGAGCAGAGTAACACCCTCAGACAAAGGAACCCGCTGCCTCGACGAAGGCGAGCTGCTGTGAAATTAGCGACATGGCTATACATCTGAGGTACGTTATCAGTCCGCATCGTCCGGGCTGGCGCCACCTCGTCCACCGTGGCTCTCATTTCAGACCCTGTGAATGCTGCGCAGATAACAAGCTATTGAGTTGCTCTTTAGAAGTGTGAGTCAGTCTCTGGGCTGAAGTGGCCCTGCTCATGGTGAACCATTTCAGACACCTTTAGAGAATAGACCGTGGTGTAAAGTCTAGGCATTTGTTCCTAACGGTTTAAGGGTCCAGGGCAAGCCCCCCTCCCCCGCCAAATTTTTTTTTAAAAATTGGGTGAAAAAGTCAGACTCATTTTTCAATTCTGAAAAGTCACCCACACGTTCCCCAGTGTGAAAACTAAGAGAATGATGTTTAACCTTAAATCCAGGGAACGCAACTCTGTAAATCCCAGAACAGTAACAAGAGACTCTTGTAAGTATATTTTGTGAAAACCCCATGTGACCAAACGCAACTATTATAAAAATAAATCGCCATGATCTACGGTGACTCATTACTGTCTTTAACGTGTTCAAGTTCCATTGCAATTCCTCCCCATTTTTACACAAAGCCGACACAAGGGGGGGCAAGTGAGCAAACTGCTTAAAATCGGAGTGAAACGGCGTTAACATCACAAGAAAAAGTTTCCGACACCAGACAGCAGCAAAGGAGTAGTCCATTCCAAAAGTAATTAAAGCTTTATGCTAATAGTATTGCTGGCAGCTGCGTAGTCATAAATCACAATACCTGAACTCTGGATTCCGGCAAATTAATTTTCAAGGCGACCTCCTCTCTCATGAAAATATCCGGGTAGCGCGTCTTGGCAAAGAGCGCTTCTAAGACATCCAGTTGCGAGCGAGTGAATGTAGTTCGCTCACGTCGCTGTTTCCGTGGAGTGGCTAAAACGTATAAAGGGAAAAAAGTCACACGAAAAAAAAATAAAAAATTTTAGTCCCTTAAATTAACACGAGTTTAATTAAATTTGACGCCAACCGTAAAATTTAAGATAATTTACCGGAAAGGAAGTCATGATTACAAGTAGGCCGTATACCTATGAATTTTCATTATACTATGTGTATCGAAATAATTGAGAGGTGCAAGCGCAACTTTTTAGATGCCGTAAAAAGAAACATCATAAATACATTAAAAAGACATTAATTTGCCAAAATAAAAAAAATAAAATTACTCGGGCTTCAGGCCCGTTTATAATAGGTACTTTATAAAGGCCTATTAAAAATTTAACCCCAACCGCTTATCCTGGTCAGGGTCGTGAAATATATAAAACACAAATCAACGTCATTAGTATCATTTAGAATATTAATCCAATAAACGTGTGTGTGTGTGTATCTGTGCATATATGTAGGCCTACACGTTCACTGGTCACTTAAAAGGACGGTATATATAATGCAGCATCCGTGCATCAATTTAGGGACGAACCTGGATATCCGACCGAAGGGTGAAGCAAGTCCATAGCAGCTCCGCTCAGCCCCAACCCGTTCATGCCGTACGGGGGCTGTTTGAGATATGACATCATGCTAGAGGCTGTCACGGGCCCCCCCAGGTCTATCCAGTAGTCCGATTTCCACAGATGTATTATTTCGACGAAGTAAGCTTCGAGACAATTCGCTAAACATAAAACAATATGGTTAGAAAGTTTCCTTAACCGAAAAATCACACAGTAAGACACAAGAAAAGGCCAAAAACCCCCGACAAAAAACCCCGAAAACACACAGGCTAAAAGTGCCGCTTGTGTTCTGCACAAATCTTATTCACCCGACATAATCGCGTATTTTAAACTGCGTTTAAACAGGCCTAGTCTTAAAGTAGTTACACCTATTTAGAGAGAAAAAAAATGCAATTGCAATATTACGTGAAAAATGTAAACATCTCAAATATAATATGTTCAGAACTGATTTTTTTGGATTGTATTTTAATTTAGGAACGAAATATTTTTCATTACTTTCCTGCAAAATTAATTGAACTTCAAACTGTATACTTAGTGTTATAATGCTTTATTATAACAAGATTTATTGCATAAAGTTACTTAGAGATCACAAATTCAAGAGCACATTTCACAAAAAAACGTTTGAATATTATTTAGTGTTTTTTCAATTTCAATTAGTTTTGTAGTCTAAAAGTTTGCTGTTTCAAAATATTGACACATTCCCCCCTCGAAATGGTTTTCTGAAAAAAGCAAAAACAAATGCCGTTGATTCTGCAATTTTACTGTCATTATACACACTTGCAATTCATTTATTATTATTCTTTTGATTTCATTTACTGTTCTATACAGAGATCTTTAGAAACATTCACAGCCAATTATTTGAAATTACATATTTAAATGACAATTTTGTCCGAGCATTTATTGCTATCATGAATTAAAATACATTTTAACTATCAGTAATCTATAGATGAATGTGTTTACACTTTGCATACCTGCATACTGGAGTGGTTAATACTAATTAAATGTCATGGGATTTTAAACATTTCCGCTCGCAAAGGCTACTTGTAAATTGCTTTAACGTTTTTAAATAATCATTTTAGAATCAGTTGCCTTGCTCTTAACTCAAGTAAATAATGTTTACATAATTTAACATAAATGCATGATTTAGAATAATGTTTGCTGAATCAGATACATGATACGTTAAACTTGTGCAAAACTTTATATAAATGGTACTTGGGGTAATTTGGGAAATTATCTAGGCAACCGACGATCGACTGTTAAAGAATTTACACGAAAGGATTTAAAGACAATGAATATTTTGATGCCAATAAAAAGTTTAAGAATTAAAAAGTTCAACGGTCGACCGTCCCTCTTGCCATCTCGGCCCCGCGCCGGAAAACGGAAATCTGGCTACTTCTAACACAACAGACGCATCTCGGTAGCCCAAACTCTAATAATTGATTGCAGTTTAGACTGGACTATTAATAAGATCATTTGGAGAAGGAGGAGACACAGAAAAACGTTTTGTAAACTTCCAGAAGATTTTACCCAGATTATCTGCATCCATGTTTTTTTTCTGACAGTCGTGCGTTCAAATTCACTTCAACTTGCAATTGAGAATTATTAATACTATTATAGGTCTGCACATGAAGGATCAGAATTTCCTTACCAATAGGATTTGCCAACGTTACAAAGACAACGAAAAACGAATATACACATTAATCAGTCGTCCTTCCGGTTGTACAGGAGAGACTGTCGCTTCCAAACACAGAAAATTGGAAGAATGTGACACATTTAAAAGTTGGGAATACAAGTTAATGTCAGTTAGAACAACTCCAGCACGAAAAATTCACAGCGGCATCGAACGAGTTCGTACACGTTCTTACCTTTTTTTTAAATCCTGCGTCTCTTTTCATCAATTTCTCAGCTTTCAGTCTAATCAAGACGTATATGAATGAAAATATCCACCGATGGAAGCAGTTCGGAAATCAATGCTGTTTTAAATAGACACAAATATCTTACATGGCAAATAAGGAATTAAACGTGGGTTAAAGTGTTTCTTGCAAAAAAAGTTTTTAACCAAGCGCAATGCGTCGCACATGTTTTTACTATATTACTGCAAACACTGAAGAGTCCCAGGATTTGAAAACAAAGTCAAAATCATTACCTTTGGCTGCTCTTCAGTGTCTTGCAGTGTTTAGATGATTGCTAATGTAGACAGATGGAGATTGATCACCTTCTCTCAACCCAATCCCTCTAAGAGCGTAACACACCTGCGGATCCGCCCACCGTAACCAATCGACGTGTGCTCCCTCCGTGACGGACTGGAGGGAGAACCACTTACGGAACAGAGAGACTTAAAATCCCCTCCCATTAAAACCGAGGACAACAAACTTGCCCGACAGTCTCAGGAAAAAAAATATGTAGTTAAATAAATAAATAAAACGGGAAGTTGAAATACACGACAAAGTCCTACGAGTGAGCAATATTCGTTTGTTTTTATTCTCTCTCTATGTTGTTAAGCAGCACAGGTATAAAGGAAGTTGAATTTTACTAACACAAATTGCAGTATGCATTTACATTTTAAAATGTGTTTTTTCGTTCCTTTAAAAGAATCGATGAGTTTAGAACTGATAAAACATGCGCAATTTCCGCGTGTTTTGCTTTTGAACACTTTTTTAACAATGAAAAGACAGGAGGCAGATTTCCAAGTGTCACTCTCTGAAAATGCTCCATGCATATTAAACCAAATTGTGGTTTACTTTTAATTACCCGCAAAATACACTCAAACTGGTAATTTGATGCAAAACTGAATTGCCCAATGACTCATTTAAGCAGGTTAATGACATCGGTTTACTTTCTGCTTTAAGAAACTTGTACTTGTCTTTTTGGCTGTCGGACTTAGTAGGCAATTTACAAACGATTATCAAATTTATAAACGGATTATTTTGGTAGATAACTCGCTATTGTAAATACACGTTATCTTTTGCGAACGTTGTGTGAAGGGGGGACGCTTTGTCACTTATCAAGCCCAAAAAACAGAGCTGGGATGAAAAATATGGAAGGTTTAAAGCGTACATTTTATTTATTTTCATTTTTTATTATACACAGATCTCATGAATATTAATGACGAGCTAATCCCCACTTAGAATTACATTTCAGAATAGTCCGCGTAAAGTTTAACAGGGACAGTCTTCTTACACACAGAGGGGAAACGTGAAAGGAATTAAAGAAAACCGCAGCCGATCCAGAAAATGAATGAAATAGGCGCAGAAAGAATCAGACTTTTGGAATCAAAAGAAAGCACCTTTGAAGAATCCGTGTCCCAAAGAAATGGCAATAAAATACGGTAACAGAATATCATGGAGAACGCAGCGCTTCCTTAGCGGGTCCTCAAAGGGGTCGCGGAGATGCTCCGAAGGACGCCAATACGCCCACGGTCGCTTCTTTTGTTGATCTCACAAAATCAACTCATTCTAATCGAGGCCGAAGCTGAAAGCGAGCTAATGTTCAAAGCAAGTGACCGCCAGACAAACGAAATTACATTCCCCCCCACACCCCCCCACACCATAAGGAACATCTAATCAAAGGCCTAGTTTACACGGTTCCTCTATAGATCTAAAAAAGTAAGCGACATAAGCTTGAGAAAACTTGGTTGTCGGAACTTCGTTATATGTATTATTTATATGCATGATACAGGCATATTATATAATATGTGTATATATATAAAACTTAGTGCCGATGAATTGGTCAATAATATTTTTAACCAAGTTTTCTTACATAGGCCTATATACATACATACTGTGTTTGTGTTAGTCACTTGTAGGCTTACACTTTTGAACTTTAATGGTTAACAAAATTCATGTATGCCATTTGAAAGGCTATTTGAATATTTGACCGAAACAACAGAAACGCATTTCAAATTTTAAAAATTGCATAGTTTTGCTTCATTTGTTTGGTTAAACGGGGCGATATTGGTCTAAGACGTCGACATCAACCTGTTCCAAGTATCAAGATATCAAGTAGCGCTCTCCTTTTGTAACAAGAGAATTTGTCTAATCCCAAATTGCAGCCGAAAATTTTTTAATGCTGAGCTCGCAAAGCCTGGGATTAGAGGAGCGAGGAGAGGAGGCGGAAAAGTTTCGTCCTTTTAGCCGGCAGGATTGGAGTGGCCCGCGGATGTTGACGGCGCTTATTGAGACGACGAAGCATAAAACACGATAGTGTAAGAACCTCGCACAAGAGGAACAGTAACCCCGTCCAGTGGTACTTTTTTTTCTGCAAGCAGGAAGGATATTAGTGGGCCGATGCTTCCAAGTCCTACTGATCGACACCTGTGAGGTGAGGCGACTGCTTTGAAAGTATTACCTCCAGCAACCTGCGTCTGTTTGACAAAATAAACACCGTTTCCGTTCCTCGGTTCGCATCAATAGCACTTTCTCAGTACAGTATTAAGTCTACACTTTGTATTCGAGTTGATTATTTCGATAGATTAAAACATTTTTTTTTTAATTACGCCGGCACGACTTTTAACAGACAATCTATAGACAGAGTAATCGCCCAGGTAAGTTTCTATTTTTTAACTTGGGTATTTTCAGATGTGCAATGGAAATCAGCGTTTTCAACCATTACATTTACTTATTTAAATTATTAAAAACTCTTCCTATTGGACATTAACCACAAATACAATGCTTGGAACATAAAATCATGTATTTCACATTGTTATATAATATTCAAATTAGGAAACGTAAAACTGCAAGCGTAGTTCAAGTTTTGATATGTACAAAATAAACGTTTGTTATTATTTTTAATGCTCACGGATTTTCAGTAGTATACAACATTTACATTAGGGTAAAGACAAAACGACAAAGGAGTTTTATACGTTCAAAAACAAAGTATTTACAACACACCATCACACTCTCTCTCTCACACACACACATAAAGAGCGCAAATTCACACACATCATTCGATTTGAAGTTAGCGTAAAAATATCATATAGGCGGGTTGGTTTGCGAAACCTGCAACGTCCTTTCCCACGTGTAATCAGTCGTACAGGCGATTAACTGCAGTTTATTCGGCACAAGATTTCCTCCGGTGACAACTACAAAACAATAAAAAATGCCGTACACGTTAGAGGACTGATACAGGTACATTGTAGTATCCGAAGAAAAAAATCCGTCCAAGGGTAAAATCTGAAGCGTCTGGTACATGTCTTAATGTAATGTTATTCTTCCTCATGCGAAATCAAGGTCTAGGGTAAATAGATGCTCTGTACAAAATTAATTGGTCTAATGGTCCTCTCTGGAATTAGTCACAAGCAATAGTACGAACGAAAACAAAACGCGAATATTTATTAGCAAGTGAATATTGACTGAACTGAATTATTTTGAAAGTTTGCTAGAAGTGTTACGGTGGTATGTTTTTGAGTTTATTTGTATATATTTATGCACACCATTTTAAAAAGCGGATTTCTCAAGAAAGTAATGCGCTTCCCAATCAAACGACTTGAGCAGGGGAAACAGATTATTAATCAGAGTACAAATAAATAGAGTAGGAAAGTCAAGTTTTAAAGCTGTAGCCCTTGACGTATAGTTTTCTACAACTTAAATCTTTTCTACATTTTTAAAGTCAGTAGCCTATATTTTTATCATTCACACAAATTATGTACACACACGCGCGCATACTTTTTGGGACTTAAATAGTTGGATATAAATATATTACTATTTTTATCATCATGGGTTTTTCCAATTAACTTTTGCGTTTATGGAAAAAAATTATACAGTGACGATTATTTCAATTGTAATGCTACAGCTCAATGTATAACGAAACCATTACTTAAATAATTCTCTAAATTGTTTGGATTTTATGTTGTCTGGTCTACAAAATACGATATAGTGAAATAATCCCGAGCGCCACACGAAATGAATAAACATGTAGAGTACGAAAGCGGGTTTCTTTTTTTTCTTTTTTTATTGAAGACTGGTATGGCAGTGAAATAAATAAACAAGTAAATGACCACACAAAATGACAGCTGCACCAGATGTGAACCAATATATTTGCACATGAAAGCATATTTCTTTTAAAGTGTACAATAAATATAAAACTGAAGTCATTGCGCAAATGTACATGGTCTCGATGTATAGCAGTTACTTACACGTGACCGGAGTAGAGATAACGGGCAATAAATATGAATTTTTTTGAGAGAACGTTTTTGCCAGCTATTCCTTACATATTAGTTGGCTGTTCGTCGAACATTTCACCAACTTCCGTCAACCTTTCGTCTCTCTTAAAACGATTTCTCAAGTCCGGGTAACAGAAAAAGACGACTAAAAACTAAACTAAAAACCCATCAGGTTTACCCTAAATGCAACTTTGACACCCTGAAGACTTTGTACAGGTAAAAACATTTTAGGTTATGCATCCAAAGGATCAGAACTGACCCTGGAAACAATAAACGCCGCTTATACTGCTGCAGGTTGTGAATGTTGCCTGGATTCCCTCTGTATAATTGCCACCACCCCACCCCCCACCCACAAATACATACATATATATATATATTTCGGTGTCCCCTTTCAATAATGGAAGAATCCTCAAGAATAAGACATGTCTGTACCTAAACATTTGGATAAAGATGACTCGCTAGCAGAGCACGTGTTGGGCACTATTACGGAAGCACCGCTCATTAAAAACCAGTCTTCAAGACCGAACGATTTTCCGTTTGAAATTCGAGTGCAATAAAAGACTTTTTACATTTTTTTACGTGCTTCTGCTTTGTTTCTCTCCCTAAATATCTCTAGTGGGACTGTAAATATTAAAAAAGAAGTACCTCACTTGTTTGACAAAGCCAAACAAAACTTAAATAATAATAAAAGTTGAGCTGAGTTTAAACTTGGTACAAGGCTTGAAGGAAGTCTGCCTGAATCCCTTGACAGAAATTATTCCACAGCTCGGGAGAGACTGATAACTGGGACTTTCGAGTTGTCATTAACTGAATGAAGTGTTTAATAGTCACTTATAATAAAGATACATTTTACTTAACTAAATGCCCCCCCCCCCCAGAACAGATCACTGAATGACACATTTTTCTTCTTTTTTTCCCATTTTTCCTTTGCTTTGCTCCAGCGTTCGCTCCAGGTGCTCATCTTCCTCTTCTGCCCTGGGGGGGGGGGGACAGTTCAGCATCAGTTCTACCTTAGGTCCATTGCGTGCAATGGCAACCCCCGCCTCCCACAGACACACATTTGCATCCATGGACCACAATACCCCCCCACCCTCGCCTCCGCTGCCACCCACAGAAACGTTCCATGCCCGAATGCCACTGGCATGTGACCCGGCTCCCCTCGACCACGGCATGGCCCTTACTGCTTCTCCTGGGCGTCCAGGTCTCGGACCAGCGCGTCGCGCTTGTTGACCAGTATGACCAGCTCATCCAGCAACAGCTGCTCCCTCCGCTTCTGCGCCTCCGTTTTCTGCCAGTCTGGAGAGATGCAACCCAAAAACCACGCTTGAGGTGAATCAAGGGCAAATGAGGGAGACACACGTGGACCGACGCACACGTGAGCGGTAACGACTGGACCGACGATTGATAGTAGCGGCTGAAACTCAGAATTCTTAATCGCCTGCTTACGTAATCGTGGAACCAGCCCAAAAGGGAAACACAATAAGCATGAGCACCGGATGTTCTCATGAAATTTTACACTTCTCTTCTTGTACAAGTCTTTCAGAGCCACGCAGGGAGCCTATGTGGGAACGCCGGCACGTTTAAATGGGGATTCCCCATTCCCCACTGAGAACTGTTGGGATGTACCCATGGAACGCAGACGATACACCGGTCCCGTCTGACAACGATGATAACCTGGGAATTCCGATGACAAGCAGCTGCCACCGTGTCACAGCACACGGGGACCGGAGAGAGTCACGGTGCTCAGGGGGGCAACTTTACCGCTGCTGTGGCTTCTGGAACCTCAAAGCATCAACATCCTGATGGCTCAGAAGGTGTCACTAGACTTCATGCAATAGAAGTCTGCCATTTTTATAGATGCACATTTCAGGTTCTGACTCAGCATACTATATTTTGTTCTGTATTTAAGTTGCAGACACCTAAGCAGAAGTACAGTGGAAGACTTCTCCTTTCATTCCAGTGGCCTGCCAAAGCTGGGCTGGTCCCATGCGGGGCCTGGAGTGTTTGCCCTGAAAGGTCACCTTCTTCTCTCATTTAGACTTCTGCCTTTGAAGTCAGGCACAGAGTGAAATGAACACAGTTCCAATATTTGGTCCCTCCACATCACAATCACAGCCCTGTGCAGCAAATTAAATTCCTCGGTGTCTTAGGATGACAAACAACTAACGGACTCTTTCGAAGGTTCGAGAGGCGTGAAGGACACTTGTTTCTTGTGAGCTGTGGCGATGTGGAGGACTTGGACAGTGAGAAAAATAACTTGTACGCTGTCAATTTTGGGATAGGGGGGGTGGGTAGGTGATATGGCATATATACTCAGTCTAATTGTGCTTTTTGCACACTTAGCTTGATTGCGCTTGAGACTTTTGCAAGCGACAACCCCCAGTGAACTACAAGCTTATAGGTGGCTTAAGGGTCTGCTGAGGAACAGGGTACAAGCCTCCAATAATCACCCTACATCTAAGCAAGTTGCGATAAAAATATTTCAGGAGCTCCCACCTGCCTTCCAATGCCCTAATGTCGTCATTCTTTCTTCTCTGTACGCATCCCCAGCCAAAAAGCCAAAGTTCCTGCCTAGTTTGGCATACACAGAAAGCAAGCCACTGTCAATCACTGCCCTGCTGGCCCCGCCCCCCTCATTAAGAAGGTAAACAATGAGGAGGAATGATGAGCGACATGGCAGAACAAATGAGGACGGGGAAGGGGGGAGGGGGGGGGGGCTGCAACCACTCACGGAAATACCCCCCCCCATTCCTGCCAGCACCTCCCCCTCTCTCTCTACTCCTGCCAAAAAAAAAAAAAGAGGCAGAGATTAAGGGGGAAAAAAAGTGCAAAGAGTATGCGGAATCCCTTCAGATCCCTTTCCCCATTGCCCAGGGCAATCACGTTAACCACTCACATGGTCCGTGCCCATTCAGATAACCCTAACAATGCACGCCAATGGTAACCATGTGAGTCTTCAGAAGCCACACAAGAATGCTAGTTCAAATCCCCATGACCCCCCCTCCCGCCCCCAGTACCCCTCCCACCCCCCCCACAAAATTTATTCAAGAGCACAAACCACTCGCCTGCTTGAGGGGACCAAGCTGCTTCTCTAGTTCTGGCCCGGTACTGGCGTGATCACAGCAAAAGATGCGCGCACACACACGCGCACACACACGCGCACACACACGCACACACACACGCACACACACTGGTGCTGTCAACACTTTCAATTCAATTTTTTTCAGAATTGGTTAAATAGTTGTATGTAAATGTATGACATTGTTGCGTGAGATTTTCTCCTATGGTGAAAAATCCCTTTAAAAATATCAGACATTCTGACTGCAGGTGAAAGGGGAAACTCTTTGTTTAGCGAGGGCAGCAAAGTAGCTCCTTGGGTCTGTGAAAGAGCCCTGAATGCAGGGATTGGTGGCTAGAGAGAGATCTGGGGGGGGGGTGGGAGGATCCAGCTGTATAACTGAGAAAGTAAAGCCAACAGCGATCGACGAGGAGCCGTACTTGGCGGGCCAGAGGGCAGGAGGAGCTAGGTGTGATAGCAAACCATCCAGAAGAGATCGCAGGGCGTCACGGCGACAGCATTGAGCTCAGCTGCCACACAACCAATCTGTCAGTCTAACTGTACCAGCTTAACTGGGTTCTGCTAGACAATGGAAAGCCTTTTACATGTATTAAATTAGCAGATGCTTTCATCCGGAACAGGGTATGAGGGTGCCGAGTTCAGCGTGTACTTGAGAGAGGAAGCAACAACGTGCAGTGGTGGCCGAGATGCTGGGGGTGTCCTGCCACGAGCTACGCGTGCAGCCTGTGGGGGATTCAAAGGGGATTGTGGGAAATGTTCGAACGGCGAGTTTGATCTTCCCGGCAACGATGGGGCCAGAGACGTCACGGGCGCCTCGAGCCCGTAGGGCTAGTGTTTGTGTGCGTCACCCTGGGTGAAACTGCACAAGACCCCCAGCAAAACCACACACAAGAGGAAAGAAGGGTCACATGTGCGGAGCTCTAGCCAAGGTCAGTCGGCACCGTCATGGACGCGTCAAGCACAGGTATAGGGACAAAAAAAAAAAAACCACAAGTGTCACTCCATAAGAAAGAGTGTTTGACATGGGTCCATATGACACACGAAATCCCACCCCAGCCCCCTTGCTTATAATTAATCCAGCCCCTTTACAATTTAACTCGAAGACCCCCCCCCCTGCCCGCCTGCCGCACCCCCATGGCATCCCGTAAGGCCTTTTGATGTTTCTCCACTAACAGGGACAAACAATGCAGCAAACTGGCAGTAACATTGACAGGATGTTCTTCCTCCCGGGGATAATTGGGTGGATCTCAGGGCAGCGGCCGAAACGGTGTCTGTTTACACATTCGTCTATTAGTGCGTCAGCTGCGATACTCACACGCATGGCCGTGTTTGCCTGCTAGTTACCCCCCTTTCGCTGACAGGAGCTTGCAGGGGGAGACAGCCTGCTGCGGCTTATATCTGACAATTGCCCCCCCCCCCCCAATTCTCCAAGTGGGTTACAGGACATGCACAAGTCTGAGGCAATGTGTACACGATTGTGCACCTTTGCGTGAGTGGAGAGGGTATGAGTCAGTCACACTTGTGGGTTGTGGCCAGCTATGCTTGCGTGCCATTGGCCGACAGCAGTTCTGCAATTACCTGTCTGTACAGCGGTTCCCCAAGAGGCCCAGATAAGCCAGTGCAGAGAAGTGATCTCTGAGGACCAGGAGAGGTATCCATACAGGTGCCCAGAGAGGCCTGTGACCTCCCTCTGGGGGCTCTCATTCTCTCCGTCAAATATATGCACACATGTTAAATATTTCAAATATAAATTTCTAATTTTTTCTTATATTAAAAACACTCATAATTAAAAGCTTCAGGACACTTATTGAAGCGAAGGAAAAAAAAAAAAAAACTCAGGAAAGACCAAGTAGGCCTGGGGTCAGAGGTCAGGTCCTACTGAAAGGCCCCAGCACCAGTTCCGGACAGGCCTTACTGAGGGTTAACGAGTGCTAATGTGCCAAGGTGAATGTGGCCCAGGGACTCGACCGGCATGTTGGTGAGGACAGAGATGAGGTCAGGGAGAAGGTGGGGGGGGGAAAAAAAAAAAAAAAAAAAGGACAAGGAAAGGAAAAAAGTAAGCAGTTCAGCAAAAAAGCCCAGCTTCAGCCCCCAGTCAGGTCCCCCTCAAACTAATTACAATTGATTTATTATGGAGCAGGTAGCTTATCAGGCACAGAAAGAAATTACCATGGGCAGCCGAAAGGGGCTGGGGGTCGCATCGAATTGCAAAATCAATTTGCATTGATTGCGAAAGGTTCATTTTTCTGCAAAGAAGGGGGGACGCAGGTGAAAGGATTAGAGAGGAGAGGACACCTCCGATAGGACACAATGGGCTCTCCCCCTCGGTGAGCCATCGTCACGGCGAGGCACGGGGAGACATTTATGATAAAGGGGGGGGGGGTCGTTTGGCGTTTCCTGCGAGCGGGAAGTGAAGGCGTGCCCCACAGATTATCCATTTCACCATGGCGCCCATGCTAATGCCACCACGCTACACTGTACGGGCATGCAGCTCCAGGTTTGAATCCCCTTGCCCCTCGAGATGCGTTTGCCACCAATCATGCATGTAGGCAGGTAGCATAATCACCAGTTTGAACCACCTACCCCACCCTCTCTCCAGTTACCCCACCCCTTGTTCAGACCCTGAAACACTCTAAACTCCACCATGCCGACCTCAATTTCCCCATCTCTTCACTCAGTCCTCACCCACCTTGCCCTCTCCATGCCCCACCCCCTCCTCTTGCTCCGCCCCACACCTCCCCCGCCCTCGTCTCACCTTCAATGGCCAGCATGGCTCTCAGCTCCCGGTTGAGCAGCTCGAAGCGTCTCTCCAGATCATGCTCCTTTTCCCTGGGTGGGTGATGGAAGCGCATCAATATGTTAATGACTAAATCATTAGGCACTTAATGGAACCTTTAATAAACAGTGACTTAAGCCCTCACCACTGCCCTCCCAGATCCACATTAATCTACTGCAAATAAGCGATACACAAACTGCCTTCTGGACCAGCCAAAAAAACACCACTGAAGAAAAAGCGAGAGCGTCAACTGATTTGCAGTCATGCCACCTGTTTGCAGGCTATGATGTCGGCAGACTCCCTCTGCTGTAATAGCCTGGCAAAGGCAAAAACTGACTTTTTTTTTTTTTAAATCACGCTTTCATTAAATGACCCCTTTAAAATCCCAATCCAATAACGTAATGTGATTAAATACACATCAGTCTGTAATTTGCTGGGGAATTTCAAATGCTTTAGTTCAGATTTTTTTCAAAAGATTTTTTTTCCTGTGTCTTACAGACCAACATTAAACCTAGTACATTAATAAAGTCACAGTAATTAAAATATGACACCAGAATAAAGTGCATGAGAGTCCCGTTTGGGGAACTCCGATTGTACCCTTGAGCGTGCATTCAGCCTGACCTGCCTCTGCAATGCCCCGCAGCTCGAACGGGGAAATTATTTTAAATGCCGTGTCATTTTTTAGCAGACATCACAAGGGCCGCTCAGGCGAGGACGTGACCGTGTGAACTCACAGCAGGGAGAGCTGGTTCTGTCTCCGGATCAGAGCGTTCTTCTTGTTCACCAGCGTGAACCACTCCTGCATCATGGACTCCTCCTCTTCCCTGTTGTTCCCTGGAAGCAGAGGCCGGAGGGCGCATTATGTTTCGGGAACTCCTGCATCACTCTTTATCATTGCATCCCCCCCCCATCCATTTTGTTTCGTTCGGCTTGGCTGCAGCCTTTAACCTGAGGCACTTATATGCCCATTGTTAAAACACGACAAGTACAAATACCCACGCGAGTAACCGTAGAGTATGCAGGACCCTGATGTGGGGCCAGGCTCGGAGCGCGGCTAGTGCTGTCTGTCACGCTCGGAGCGCGGCTAGTGCTGTCTACCGATTGCGTTTATGCAGAAAGTAAATAACGGGGTCCGATTAATAAACTGCAAGCCACCGAGTAGCTGGCCTGGCCGGGAGCCCTAAGAGAGGGGTAGTGCTCGGGGGGTTCTATAGCACAAAGAACACTGGTCAGGGAACTCCCTGAAGATTCAGTCTGTAACTTATAACAAAACGGAACAGAGGACGGGACAGACTCGTCCCCCTCCCAGAAAAACAACTGCTGAACCCGTGCAGGGGGAGGGCTCACCAATTCCCCCGCCCTTGTGACTCTTCCAAGAAAGGTGAGAGAATGACATTACCCCCAGGGCGTTGCCTGAACAACCGGGAACGACCCCCAGAGGGCGTGCTCCGCGGCAGAGACGCCGCCAGCGAAGACAGACGTCGCTCGCTCCTGAAAGCCAGGATCAATGCGCTGGTGCTCAGGTGGTGTCACCGAGGACAAGCGTGAAGAGTGACAGTCGCATCCTCTCCCTCCCCCGAGGCCAAAGGGTGGACCACATTACAGCACAGAGCGGGACGCGTTCCAGCCCGGGCGGGAGGGGTAAAGCTAGAATGTTAAAAAGGTGTCAACACTGGCAGGTGAAAAACCAGGGGGGGGGGTGGGTGGTGATTTAGGATCTGGTCATGGATTACAACAGAGAGCCCCACAAACTGCACAGCAAGGAGGTGGGTAGGGCTTCCACAGGCAGATGTTAAAAAAAAGGATTTGCCCCACCCCCCCAGTCTGTTAGCTGCGCCCTAACAAATGCACCTCATATCCTGCTTATTTGGGGTAAATTTCCCCAAATGTCACTAAGAATGCAAGCATTACAAGCTAACAGCACTTTTAATAAGCCCAGTTGAGACCCTAGTTTTTTTGTATATATACTGGGGGGGGAGGTGGGGAGGGAAGGAAAAAGTCACAAGGAAAACGGAACACTGTTATAATAGCAAGCTTTCAGCATTCTCATCCAGCCAGTTTCTGTTTAATCCAAAGGCGCTGTAATCCAATTTGTCCATCGGGGTTTCACCTCCTTGTTGGCCGAGTTGCTGCTCTTATATCAGATTATTTTGAGAGGAGCCACTCAATCTGTGCCGCCGCTGAAGGTGATCGGTATTGTTTAGGATGATTAAGGAAGAGCTCATTAGAAGACGTGTCGCTTCTCTATTCTGAATATGCAGGAAGAGCGGAGTGAGATGCAGGACCGTCGCTGAAGGCGAATGCGGCCAGCACAAAGGACTGGTTTAACTGCTTTAAGTGGCTCTGCGCCGTCTCGTTAGCGGGGACTCAAAGGGCCGCCAGGGGCCCCCGTCCATTCGCTAGGAGTCGCTTAGCTTTTGTCGCGGTTCTTAATCCCTGGTGAAACAGCTGCCGTTGTGCCTAGACAGACCCGCAGCTCGCCGCAAAGTGGCCAGAAAGTGTGCTCTCCTGGGTAAAGTCACCCTGGTTAACCTCTGCGGCACCTCGCTGCTGGAATTCAGCCCTGTCCCTGATAATTACGACCTACCCGACTGAGAGGAGGACACGTCAATACTTATAACCATTAAGAGCAGCAATAAAATAAAATCTGCAAAGCCAGCATCCATCAGACACGGCGTCCTGAAACCCTTCACACAACAGCCACACGCTTCAACCGGATTTGTTTTTTTATAATGTACATTATTTTATTATAGAATTTTATACATTTAACTTTTAGATTTTTAAACGAAGTTTTTCCACACTGATGCAGTGATGCTGAATTGTAAAACATGCTCTTGACATTGTTTGCATTGGATTTGGTGTATTGATGTCCCATGTGACTCTGGATCCTCTAACGTCACAAGATGTATTGAAGGGGCAGGTGACACCAGAGAAATGTTACAGGGAGGGAACTGGAAAAATACAGACCCCTCCATAAAACAAAAGTGCAGGTTGTTAATTGACGAGGACAGGGAGTCACAAATGTTATTTCTGACTCTCGCATCCATACAACCATCCAGAAAATTCCCTGTTGTCAGGTGTCCAACGAATGCATTTAAGCTGACCGTAAAGTCTAACTTCTCAAAAGCTTTACATTACTGCGCGTCAAACTGTTTCCAAAATGTCCAACGTCAACTGAAGACAAACGAAAGGGTCAGGAGAAGCCGACTGCTGAACAAGTGAAGACTTATTTACCTTCTCCTGCCATAATGATTATTGTTACCATTACCATCATCATCCCCCCCCCGCCGCCCCACACACAACCCCCCCTCCCCACTCAACCACACTTTTCAGTTAGCTTTGGCGCTGATCAACACGGAGGTGGAATCAAGGACCTTTCGAGAAAGCAGGGCACTTCAAGTAATTAATATAGCACGACAGGCAGTCGGGGGGAGGGGAAGGGAGGGGGGCGCCGAGGCAGATCACCTGGTAGAGTCCTGAAAGGTGTTTCATTAAAAGGCTTCTAACCATACAGGGACAGACAAAGCGGAGGAACCGTATTTCAGTACTTGTGCTCAACAGGCTCTCCAAGTGCCAACCTTGACGAGAACAGAAACCTATCCCAGTTAATAATCTCGTGACAAAGGCTAAAAGACATCACCCTATTAACCAGTGATCTCCAGCACTAATGCGCGGTACTTCCCGGTGCCTTTTATACAGAACAGTGCTATTGGAGAGGTCTAAACAGCCAGCAGGAATCAGCCACCCCCACCACCTTTTATCTTTTTCTCCTGTTTGGGACCTTTCAAGAGGGCGGCATGAGGTGTCAGCGATATCATACTGCTCCGAGAAACTCATCCCGTCTTCGAATTTTTTTTTGTTGTTGTCTCTCTTCGTTTGAAATCATTTACGTTTCTGCTGTGACGTTCCACAGAAGGACCTGCATGTATTTTAGTCATCGGTCAGGCATCCGGCCGATCATTTTTAAACCACCCCCCCCCTCCCCCCCCTTTTTTGGAAAATCCTCCTGTTGCATTCTTTTAATTATTCCCCCCCCCCCTCCACCTTAAACTCAGGGGAATATTTAATGAGCGCCCCTGACAAAGGATCCGAGGCACCCCGACACAAAAAGCGCTGGAAATTCTCATTTAGTTGTCCTTATTTTGCGAGCGCCATGTGGTCCTTGAAGACGCAGGAAGCGGGCGAGGTGCTGGAGAGATCAGAGCGCTGCTCATTAGCATTTGGGCCGGCCTGGAGTGGGCCGAGGTCTATAGCGGCTTTCCTCCGACGGGCCCTGTGAAAGCCGCCGGTGCTGAGGGCTCCGTTTCATTGTGCTTTTGTCTCTCCTGCGGGCTTGTAGCACAGCGTGGCACCCGCTACCCCGGGCTGCGTGGGGGAATTATGGGAAAATATCTTATTTAAAAATAAGAAAGAAAAAGGCATGAAAAAGCAACGTCCGTGTCGTGGTCTATTCAGAGGCCGCATGGAACGAATTTTTCAGTTAGTTCATTACCGCCCCCCCTGAACACCTGTAATTATCATCTTTTCTCCACCCCATTCTCACAGATACGATAACCAGTAATAACATACGCTATTCCAGTTTTTTGCAAAATTCGTTTCACTTCAGACCAACTTCACCACTTAATGATACAGCTCTTGATTCTTTTAATATCACAAAGGGGCCACAGAAGAATATGTATCAGCCATGCGACAACATTTCTGAGGAAGCAGTTTTCAAAACGGGACAGAGATATAGCAAACAGTATCCTTGTTATGGACCTAGATTACGCCTGGACCTTTCCGGGCCGCGGAGAACCGGCTCGTGGTCCTGCTGGCAGACTTTATCTGCTAAATCCCTGCGAGTTGGCCGGCTCTCTTGGAAGATGACCCTGAGGAATGTCAATAGCTCATTTCCCCATGAGCTGAAGCCACCGCCCACTAACCCCCCCCCCATAATCTGCATTTCTCCGTGTGGGGTTAACCATTGGGGCGGGAGGGCAGTGAGATTTATGCTACCCCCCCTTTTCATCTACTAAAGGGCTCTGCCTTCTTGAGCACTAAAATTCAGGACTTTTCCGGTAGTTGCTTCCACTGTCATTTTTTGCTGCCTTTCTTTTTTTTTACATTTTTTTAATTATTCTTCTCTAATTAGAATTGGAACGCGCCTGGTTGACTTGCGCAAAGAGCCTTTATCTGTGTGTTGCAAGCGCCCGTTACGCCACATGCTGCAAATGGACCTACCAAAACGGGAACTGGGAGGCTCGCTTCATTTGTCAGTGAAGTTCTCTTAGCTCCCCCCCCCCCCTTTAAATATACTGGGATTATTTCCCACCCTGCCCCGCCCGACAAGAAACACACCAGCTCCCTCTGTCAAGTTTGACGAT